CTCCTCTACACACCTTCAAAGTCTCTCTCCTGTATAATTTTAGGCCACACTTTCTTCCAGGCAGATCTCAGTGTCCTTAGAAAGCCATTGGCCCAGGATTTCTCAATGAACCCCACACAGGAAATGATGTAATGTTCCTTCCAAAACTTTTTAGGGATTAAATCTGTGTCTGAGACCACCAGAATCACTTCAGGGACAGTTCCCTGGTGTATACCTTGAAGTTACCGATAACCTGCTGGTCCATAGGCTGCAGGAGAGGAGTTGTACTAGGTGGGAGGTATTCCACTGAGAACCCTGGAAATTTTTCAGCCAATTCTTCCCCAAATCGTGTGGGTGAGTGGGAACATTGTCCATGATGAGAGGAGCCTTGAGTGGTAAACCTCTGTCCTCTAGATATGTCTTAACAGTAGCAAAGAAAGCCTCCCTGATACACTCAAGAAAAACTATTCTTGTTACCCAGGATTTTGCATTAGAGCTCCACATGACCCCAAGCCTAGTCTTCAGGGCTTTCTTTTCTGGACCCTCTAGAGGTCTCAGAGTGATCAACCAAGAGAGACTTTATCTTGAGGTCATCACTTACATTGGCACATAGCAGGAAGGTTAGCCTGTCCTACCTCGGCTTGTGGCTTGGCATTTTATCTCCCTGGGTAATGTATGTTCTCCTGGGTATTTTCTTCCAGAAAAGGCCAGGTTCATCACATAGAAAACTTGATGAGAGCAAAAGCCGTTTCTCTGTGTCATTTCCAAGAGGTATATAGAGTTTTCAGCAGCCCTTCTATCAGCACCGGCTGTTTCATCATGCCTGGTTACCCTGTGAACACCAGTCCTCATTTACAATTGTCAAACCAGCCTTTACTGGCATGAAATGTTTCATCATTGACAGTCATTGTTGGATTATCTTTGTCATGATTTGCACTGATGGCGCTAGCTTTTGCACAAATCATAGACTCAGATAGGCTATAACCTGCCATCTCCCTTTGGTTTATCCACACTAATCATAGCCTTTCTACCTTGTCTACACCACTGATCCTGACTTACTAACTTGAGCAACACCTTTAGCAACATTAGCTTTCTTATACAGATCTTTTGTCTGTAAGATTATCAAGATGGTGGGTTTCAACATGCTGCACATATTATCATATATTGGTCATGCAAATATCATTTCATATTTCTCCAGTTTCCTGCTTCTGTTTTATTATGATTGCTTTCTTTACCTCCCTTTTCTTCCATGGCTTCTTTTCTAGCTTTTTGGGGGCCATTTTGAGAGCAGTAATTGTAGTGATTATGTAACGCACAGACTGAGATCACATCCACAAACACATATATTTGGGCTCAGGCTGATGTTTACATATGCTTACATATATTTTCCTGGCACTGTGAGCCTTTGCTTACAACCACAGAAGTGGCCAGCACTTGGGTCATAACTCAAGATTTGGTCATCAGTTAAACCTAAAATTTCACTTGTAATGCAAGATGTTTGCATGTGAGGCCAGTTGTAACTCAATCTGTACCACAAGAAAGAAACAAATAGGAAGAAAGGGATAAAGCCGGAAGGAAGTAAAGATGTCAGGCAGCCAGGAAGGAAGGAAAATCTTCATTTATAATATCTATTGTGGAGAAATACATTACCTTAAGGTGAAACACAAAACATGATAAGGAAAAAAATAAAGAAAATACAACACGTCAAAATATATAATGTACAATCTCAAAATATACACTCTCTAGTTATAAACAGGCAAGTTAGGTGCAAGACAGCAGAAAGCCAAAGAGACAATGGCCCCAAGGTAAGATGATCAGGTCTTGGACAAGTCAATAGAAGCCTGAGGTCCACCATTAAAAACCAGGGACAATAAAGTGCAGGTCTGTAACAAGGAAGGCAACAAGCATGGTGGTGGATGCCAAGTATGACAACTCCTGCTCCTACTTAGCAGGAAAAAGTTTTTTTTTCCTTTCTCATTTTACTCATTGAATGAACCATTTGGATAGGATGGAGGCCAAGAAGCACTTGAAGACATACGTTTCTTATGATCCTCCACTCCTCCTAGGCCCATTTCTAGTTTCCATAAGCTTGCTTTACTACTATAGGTTACCTTTCATTTCAATCAGACTGGTCTGAGGCCAGGTCATGTTGTGGTATTGTAAACTCCTAGAGAAAGGCAACCCACCCTTAGGTCCCCTCCCAAATACTGGTAGCTACTTTTCTCTTATAAACATTCTTCCTCTCTACCCCCTTTGCCCTTGTCTTCATTCTTTGACTTTGGGACACACAGACCCAGATTTTACTGTTATAGTAGGGCACATTGGGTGTAGGTGATTCTGAAAAGTATTAGCTGTCTTCAAGTTCACATTAAATGTTTGCTATGGTAGCAGGTTTCTGGAGACATGTGCTGCTTTCAATGATTAGCAAACTTTTTTAAAATAAAGAAAAACACTCAAGTCACATAAGAGTTTCTGTGTGTCTTGGTTACTTCTTTCTCATTGCTGAGACAAAATACCCAATGCCCAAAATGAAGGAAGGAAAGGTTTATTTATCTCACTGTTTGTGGAGGTTTCAGTGCATACTTGTCTGGCTCCAAGGCAGAGTAGCACGTGGCAGAGGGCAATCATTCATGGCAGATGAAAACAGCAAAAGCAACAAGAGCCCAAGGGAGGAGCAGCACCTGGAAGAGCAAGCCTCTTTCCCTCCCTTACACTGTATGCAAACTACCTGCCCCAGGGCAGGTGTAGCACTCAGATCCACAATTCCAACATTGGACCATAAATCAATCATAAACTCTAGAAGCCTGCCCCATGACTGTCTTAGGCTTTGAGGGGACATCCAGATACAAACCTTAACACTGTGGGAAAAAAATTAGCCTCTCATCTGGTTGGGCTTTCACATCTTCCACACTACAGCTAATCTAAATCAGCTCTTCTACTGCCTGTGTCTTAGACCACTACAAACCTCTCAAATCCATAGACAAAAGCTAGCTAGAACTTCACAACCCACCTGGATGCAGCCTCCGCATATCATCTGGGATGATCATCATCTTAGCCAACTTGAAAAACCCTTCCTGAAAGACTCACCACAACCATGTTCACCATAGCCATCTCCATGCCTGTGGAGTCCATGCCCATGGAATCGATGCCTTGGCTGTAGCCTTAGCCAACTCTGAGCACACTCTGCATTTTGTTTGCCCTCAGCACTGGGCAACGGAGGTTAATGCAGCCCAGCCAACCTGTCGGGGCCAGGCAACACCCAGGGAGAGCAGGTAAGCCTGGAGGGGTGGCAGTTTCAGTGAGAAACAACAGATGGAAACAGCAGCACTGGCCCCAAGAACAGCTCATATCTACTGTAAAGAAAATCAATGTGGGATTTCCCACAGAAAGTGACTCCTTCCACACGGCACACTAGAGTTGGAGAAGAAAGCCAGGGCAGTGCCTGGGATATTTGACAAGGTTTAGTCAGGTAATATTTTTGGGATGTGGTGAACTGTTTAAAACTGAGCTGCAGAACAGCTTCGCTTCAGAGTTCTTGGTATCACCATCCCACAGTGACTGGATCAGAGACAGCCATGAGACAGTCATGGGGAAGGAGCCAGGTACATACTTAAGAAATTTATGCTCAAGTGGGGAAGTACATGGGACCCCACCTTCCATGGCAAGAAGCCAGGCCCAGTGTGTTTGGTTTTTAGAGGCAGCTGGATCTGAAAGTTCTAGAAATTGGTCCAGATGTCTGTATGAACATCTACCCACTGTCTACATCCAGCACAGACTGGTCTGATTGCTTTCTCTATCTACAAAAGTGACAAGGACATACCTCAGCTTGGGTGGTTGAACAGCCCAGGGTGTACAGAGAGGGCATTCTTATCAGCAATGAACCAGAGCTCCTGTGGCTCCATATTTTCAATAGACAATATCTTTTGGATTTTTCAACATTCTAATGGGTATTTGGATTTCATCTTAATTTGAAACTTCCTAATAAAATTCTGTTGGCCATATCTTCATATGCTTATTGCCATCAGTACATCTTTCTGGCAAGATCTGTTCAAGTCCTTTACTGAATTAGTTATTTTCTTATGCTTAGGTTTTCCCAGTTTTTGTGTATTTTCAGTAACAGCTCTTTATCAGATACATATTTGGTAAGTTTTTCCCCCAGTCTGTGGCTTCTCTTCCCATTCTCTTGATCTCTGTTCTTTTCATGTGAAGTTTTCTGTTTTGTTTTGTTTTGGTTTGGTTTTTTGCCAGTATCATTCCTTGAGCCCTTTAAAACATTTTGGTCCACAGCCACCTTCCCAGAAGGGTATGGTGAAGCACACCTGTAATCTCAGCACTCTGGGAGCCCAAGGCACAAGGATCACAAGTTTGAGTTTAGTCTCAGTGAACTAGCAGCTTAGGGAGATGATGTCTCAAAATATTTTAAAAAAATAATAGCTCAGTGTAAAGGCCCAGGTTCAGACTCCAGTACCCAGCCTCCTTATTCCTGCCAATCACATTTCCCGCAGTAAGTTATTGTCTAGAACCTGCTCTCCTGTAGCAGTGTGATATTCCCTATACATGCAGCTCTTTTCCTATATCTTCATTTACATTTAATTTCAATTTGACTCCATTTTTTGTTCTTTTGCTGTTTATTTTGCAAAATATCCAATGGATTTATCAATTGGTCACAAGCAAGCAATTCAATAGCACCCTATGCTGTCTGTGCAAATCACCGACACCACAGATCATCACTTCTGATGTGCACATTCTTAATGTAAAGAACCGTGGATTGAACAGCTAGCTGTCAATTTGTATGTCTACATGTAAACTATTTTTCCTTAGTTATAAATGGTGTGAAATTTTCCAGGCCTGGTCTTGGATGCTTGTAATCCCAACACTTGGGTGGACAAGGAAGGAATATCTGTGTGAATTCAAGGGCTAAAAGTGAGTTCAAGGCAGTCTGTACTACCTAGGAAGATACAGTCTCAAAAAACAAGAAAATGTAAGTGGTGAGAAACTATTGTTTAGAAATAAAGAGAATAGAAACTCAATACTATTTTTTAATCCAGGATATGGCAATAGTGGATGTCCTGGTGGAGGTAGGGTGGGGAGTGTGTGGAAGGCTATTGGGGCAGGTGATGGAGCTGGCGTGTTTGGAGGGAGAGATGACTGTGAACAGCAAAGCCAGAGGCGGCACGGATCAGCTAGAGTTTGGTCTGGGGTCTGCGTTGCACCCAGGCAGCGATGCGGGGAATGGCTTGGACTTTCTTCCGCAAAGTCACCAGCCTCAGGTGGCTGTCCAGCAAGTCAGGTTTAAAGACCAGGAGTGTGGTACTACAGATGTCCCAGTAGAAATCTGCCCAAGTCACCTGGTTAAACAAGAGAAAAAATACTGTTTTCAATTTGAACATAAGAGGCGTAACTTCATCATTTCAAAATTAAACTTAGTTTTTCTTTGTTTGCTTGTTTTTGCTTTTTGGTGCTGGGAATCCAGCTCAGGACCTTGTGCTTGTCAGGCAGGCGCAGTGCCACTGAGCTATATCCTCAGCTTAAACTTAGCTTCTTAATCTAAGAGATAATAATGAAAATTTACAATAAATTTTGTCACTACAAAAACAGAATGAGTACATAATAGAAGCTTGGAAATGACAGAGGAAGGGCACCACCCAGAGCTTCCCTTAGTGCCTTAAACTACAAGGCCTTTCTCCATGTAGATGGATAAACACGTTCACTAACATCCATCAGTACATGCTATTTTGTAACCTGGCCCAATCTCCAACTCTCCAACATCTTCATCCAATCTAATACTTAACCCATATTTTCTCATCTGCTGGAGCACAAAGCAGGATCCATCTCATCTGGTGACGCCCTTTAGCTCTCCTCGTTCAGAACAGTACCCTCCTTTCGTGTCACCAAATGATTGAGAGTCCACACTCACACTACAGAATGCCCCACCTTTGAGCTTATATTGTCAGTTGTTTATCTTGTGCTGTTACACTACTCCTGAGGGTAGTACATTATTATTTATATCACACCTCAGGAATGTAAATTACTCCTGAGATTCTATACCAGGGGTGGTGAAACTTTAAGAGCTTTCAGTGATACAAACAGCCTACTGCATGGCAATACATGTGCCATCAGTGCATCACCACTGCTCTACACTTTCCAGTGAAATATTTTTGGCTAAAATATATTATTCCAAATCAGTCAGGAGAAATAATCTACAGATGTTTGCTCATTAGCAGAATGCTAGGATTGGCCCTGGGACCAGGATGATGACGGTCTGACCCCACTCTTGTACACCTGAGGATTTTGCCTGTGTGAGTAGAGAGTCAGCTGTATAATGGGACCTTGCTTCCATGTGAATATTAGTCCACAAGCAAGCTTCAATGTGGACCGTTCCTAGCTCTGTGTGTGGAATGGAAGAAGCTTGGTGCTAACGTTTTATGAACCTGATCACTGTCTACTAGCCAAGCAATGCTACTGGAGGATTCACATGTCAAACGTGAGACGATTTACTGAGCACCTACTGCATGCCAAGGCCAGATCTCAGTGTTGGGCATTGATAGGCAAGCAAGGTAGGACACTACCTCCTTCTGCAGTGTGGCTTTTATTTTACAAGACAACAGCGATGAGGAAAAAGTGCAGGGACTGTGAAACACGCAGGGCAGCCTTTCAGAGGAGACAGAAGGCAAGGCTTACGTGGCAGAAGAGGACTGAGAGGCGCAGCAGTCTGGGGAGGAAGTTTTCTGTGCAGAGGGAACCCACGCGTCAGGCTCGTAGGTGAGCATGTGAGGCGCGCGTGAGGAGCACTCGTCCTTGCATCTGGAGGACACAGGGAAGGGGAAAGCACCTCGAGAGGCATCGGGAAACTGTAGAAAGGACTGAGTTATAAAGTTCAAATCCTGTGAAATATTCAGTAAGTACGGTGGGAGAGGACCGTTGTAGGAGAAGCTGAGGACGGGTTCATCAGTTCTTCAGGGGCCAGAAAGTGCCCATGGTTCATTCCAGCCCTTTCTCCCTTTTATTTATTAGCGGAAATGCTTTCATCAAGAGAAACTTTGTCCCATGACTTTTGTTACCCTGTGTACATTCACGTAGGAAAGACAGAATAAATGCCTCTTAAAAGACTCTCTGCATTTTTTATTGTGTATAATAATTTTCAGAATAATAGCTGTGCAACTGCTTCTAAAATTAAGCCATGGAGGTCTGATTTACGATTTTGTGTGGGAGCATACGTGGTTGAGGTGGTTTGCATGAAGTTCCATTTTTATTCAGCTTGGTTTGTTCATTGCTACTAGCGTTGTGGAAGCTGGAAGTTTCCCACCTTTGGCCAACAAAAAGCCTTCAGGTTCACTCCCGACTCCTTTTGCCAGAGGTCCAGTTGTCTTTGGTAAATAAATTCTTTGCTTCTAATATGATAAGGTATTCCCAGCTCATTTTTTATACCTTCTGTCCAAAATTAAAAACAAGCCATTTATCTAAGAAGCTCCGGTTCCTTTTAGTATTTAGAAAACAGACCCTGGCATGAGAGGTGCTCAGGATGGGCAGGTTTGTTAGTTATTCCCTCAGGAATCTTTTTTTTAATTCTAAGAGCATCTTGAGCTTATGTTGTTACCTATTGTTCAAATATAGAACTAAGATGTTAGTTCATCTCCCTGACTGACATGTCTCTCCCCCTTCTTCCACACCGAATGTCCCAGTTCTCAGTAACAGCAACATGCGTTCTTATTTCTGCACCCACAATACAGATACAATCTTATCAGAAAAACAATACCCACTACCACCAGGGTCTAGTACCACCAAAGACATTACTGAATATGGCTTATGATTTTTTTTTTTTCTGAGAGAGTAACTTTCTTTAGATGTAGAATCAAATTACTATTTTATAAAATTATATTTCTTGAAATAATTTTTCACTAATAGAGTATAATACACATTTTTCCACAGTTTATGCATGTACTCAACATAAACTTATTTGTTCACTTTTTTCTTTTTTTCTTTTTTTTTTTTTTTTGGTTTTTCTCCGGTACCGGGAACCTAACTCACGACCTTGCGCTTGCCAGGCAGGCGCTTTTGTCGCTGAGCTAAATCCCCAGCCCCTATTTGTTCACTTTGATGATGGTTTTAGGATAACTTGTTGAAACTTGTCATTTTATATAGTTACACAAAATAATTCAGATTCCAAAAATTTTAATGTAAAGGATTTTAGCTTTCACCTTTGCCATGTGACCTAGTCCTTTTCCATGAATAACGTTTTCTCAGATGAACTTTTGGGTTCCCCTTTTATTTTAATACATTCACTGATATTTTTAAATTATAAATCATACTCACAGAGTTACCAATCAACCACTCTTTGTCCCCTAAATATGTTTCCAAATCTTGCAGAAGGTGAGGTGCCTCACGTGTAAGCAGCTCATTAAACACGTGACTCTACAAGAGAGAGAAAATGTCAGTTTACAAATAAAGGGAAAGGAAATGCTATGATTCCAAGAGCAAGTAGATTTCCCACCTTTCTTCTCCCACATGAGTTCAGAATGCAGTGGAAGTAGCTCCCTGTTCTCTTTTATGTCTTTGTTTTATGACAGCGTGGAGATTCAGTCTGGTTCTCTGTACATCTTATTCCTTTCTCCGTTACTCAGAGTTTGAGAAGAAATACCCTGTCAGCACTTCTATAGTTTCTTTGCATATAGTGACTAAATAGTTCAACACGGTGGTGCGTGCCTATAATCCCAGCACTTGGGAGGCTGAGGCAGGAGCCTCAGCTGCGGGTTCAAGGCCAGCCTGGGCTACATATTGAGTTCAAGGCCAGGCTCAACTACATAGCAGGACCGTGTTTCAAACAACCAAAAAGAAATAGTTCACCTGCTAGATTTATGATTCTTATTCCAATTTTTTTAATAAAAATTATTGTATAGTTTTTTTTGTTTCTAGAATTTGTTTCTTAACTTAACTCCCTTAAACTTTACTATAACTGAAGGAAAGGTTAAGGGCCAAAATCCAAGAGACAGTCTTGCCATTGCACTTGATGGATATAAGCTGTAATGAATCATTTTTCTCTTGGGCCTATATGAATTTTTTCTCTTTGGCACCATGGTACTTAAGTCTGAGATTTATCTGCTGGAATATCTACCTTGAATATCACCTATAAAACACATCATCCAGAGAGCCCTTTTTGATATATTATTAAGCTAATATTTACATAATAAACCCAATAGCCTTCGAAGGGAAAACATATATAAAATATTTATGTATAAAACAGGTGTATCAGCCGGGCGTGATGGTGCACACCTGTAATCCCAGCACTCTGGAGGCTCAGGCAGGAGGATCACTGCAAATTCGAGACCAGCCTGGGCTACAAAGTGAGCTCAAGGACAGCCTGAACTGCATAGCAAGACTCCGCCTCAAAGAGACAAAAAGAAAGGTGTATCCATTGTTTACAAATTGTCTTTAGGTTTTTACTCAAGTTTCTGAAGGCTTCTATCTATCTATCTATCTATCTATCTATCTATCTATCTATCATCTATCCATCATCTGTCTATCTATGTATCTATCTAATTATTTGTTCTTTTGTACAAAAATTTTGGCTGGCTATGGGTGATGGTGCACACCTGTAATCGCAGCACTCTGAGAGGATGAGAAAGGAGTATCACAAGTTCTAGCCTAGCCTGGATAATTTAGCAGCTTAGTGGGACCTGTCTCAAAATAAAAAGGTAAAAAGATCTTGAGATGTAGCTCAGCGCAAAAGCCCAGAATTCAGTCTGACTTTTGAAAACATCTGGCTATCAAATAAAAGCCAAACTCAAAAGGTTGCAATACTGCACATATGTATCATTTATTAGTATTCAGAAGCAACCAACCTTTATGAATGCAAGTTAAGTAGTAGACAACTGTCTCGCCAGCTTGCTGATTTATTTCATATTTTGAGTATGATTTAGCAAGATTAATATAGGTTATTAGAATACAAAGCCTTACATTTGTACACTTTGTGAAACATTATTTCCGTATTTACATACATTGCCTAAACTCATCATTTCTAATGTTTTTTTTATTATCTTTTATTCTCTTTAATGGTATGATCAATCTTGCATTCTTACATCTGATAATCTTAGCAACTTTGCCGAAGATAGCAATATCTTCTATAACAATCACTGTTAATTCCTATCATTTTGTTTTGAAACACTATCATTTGAAAACTATCATTTCAAACACTATCATTTGAAAACGCTATCATTTTAAAACACTATCATCAGCAACTGATCCACTACAGGTCCTATCATTTTGTTTTGAAACAATAAAAATATCATTTTTATTGTTTTTGCTTTGTTTTCTTTCTGTTTATGTTTTTTTTTTTTTTCTTATTCTCTTTAAAATTACATACATTGCCCACCTGGGAATGTGAAAACTCAATCCTGAAAAGCATGTCATCATTTTGACTTCTGCTCTTTTCCCTGTTCTTTGCCTCTTCTTACATAATGTACTCTATGGCCCAAATTTAAGAAAAATATGAGAGTGAGTCCTGCTGCTGCCCACACAGAGATTGTGAGATCGGGGTGACAGCCCAGAGCCCACAGCATTTCCCACAGCCCGCTCAGTGGGAAAGGTGCTGGCGCTGGCTCTCCTAAGACAGCTAGCAACAGGGGAGCAGAACACACGCTGCCCCGCTGTCCCCAGGATCCAGCCTGGCAACTTCTGTCTCCTTCCACATGTATATTTGAAAAATGTACTTGCTGATAAATCCTGGGCAGGTACTCTCATACTTGGTGGGCTCAGACATTTCTTGTCTCCTCTTTCAGAAAACTGAGAAGCAGGTTGTTCACCCTGAGAGGCCACTACTAGAATACGCTAACAATGACTTTTAGCAGATACAGGGAGATTTGTGTATTTCTCCAAAGCATTATTTTTAAATCAATGTCATTAACCATTTAGTGGTGGGTGCATAGCAGGGCATTTCCTCATTCCTGCTCATCTGCCATCCCATCTCCTCCTCAGACAGGAAACGGAAATGCAAACACACTGAATGACCATAGTAACCAACTTTCATAAGTTCAAGGACTGGCCTGGTGACCAATGTCCAGAGATATATTTTGCCCTTCATTTTTTAAAGAAATGAAATGGAACTCTTTGCAACAAGTCCTGGAACATTTGTCAGTTTTGTGTACATTTAATGAAATTTTTAAAAGCACATAGGATAACAAGAATATTGTCACGGCCCATCAATATACAATTACGTGTGTGTAGGTTCACTATGTCACTGCATCATTATCTTCTGTGACCACAAGGGGGCAGCAACTGATCCACTACAGAGAAGGGGGAACAGTGGTGTCCTTTTTCACTGTGCACTAGTCAGGTCCTGTGGGTTAATCCCATAGTCTGGAGTAACGGCAGTGTTACGGAGACATGCTCTTCCATCCCATGATTTATTCATGAACTCGGACGGCTGTGTTCTGTGAAACTGGTTTTTGAGGTAGGTGCTATGTATATAAGGGCACTGTTTCTCTACTACAAAGGTAGAGTGATAGCTACTGTAAATATTTCCCCTGGAGGGTGCCTTCAGGTATGGAGCCTCAGCCCCAGAAGGGCAAAAGTAAAGGAATAGAGTGAAACAAACTGATCACCTGACAGGCTGCCCATGCGTGGGGTCTTTGGCACATGCAAGGAAAAGCTTTAGACACTTTATTCCTAACTTGGGGTCTGGGTCTGTTTGCGTCTGTGTTTACAAGGATATATGAAATGGAGATGCTATTTCTGAGAAACAGAAGGAAAAGTGCACACTGAGCTATGTGATGATACTTTCCACTTAGCCATAAGTATATGCACTATCTACTAATACACTTCAAAAAAGAGATTTTTATAGCCTCAACTTTATAAAGAATTTGAACTATAAGCAAGGAGTTAAGTGGCAGCTAATATGGAAACCAGAACTCAAGCCTGGCAGTCTGACCCCAAAGCGGAAAAGTGTTTATGACAAGCAGTTGTATTACATTTCTGTTATCAAAGCTTAGCTTTTATTTACCTTTCCTCGATTGTGCATGTGTGTGTGTGTTCCACATGCCTTACATTTATTTCAGAGTTGGTAAATGTAAATGCTTTTATGTCCAAATATCTATATTTAAATCAGAAGGTCCTAACTAAGTAAATAGAGAGCGTAGTAAAAATGTGCTGCATAAATTGCTAAGACGGCCATCTGTTTTCTGGGCTGTGACTCTTGGGTACAGTCCTTAGCTGTAAGTTGTAATAAATGTTTATGCACAGCTGTTTTGAGCAGCTGTCGACCCTGAGCGTTAGAGCAGGAGTCCGAGGGACGGGCTTGTATTCCTTGTGTACCACTTACTTGTGAAACAGCCCTGCCAAGGGATTTACAGTGCTGCATCTCAGCGTCCTCGTATGGAAAAAGGGAACAGTAACAACTTCACCCCAAAGGGGTGCTCTGAGGATTATTCACTTGTTTAAACAGGTTCGTTCATAGGCAGAGGCCATGGGCTCAGGCAAGGCCATCTGGACTCAGGTCACTTGTGAGACTTGAGCACCTCACTAGCCACTCTCTTTTTATTCCTTCTGCTGGAAAGCACATAGTGACGAAAAGAAGCGAGAGCCGGGCCCAGCCAGGGCATGCGTCCGGTAGATGCCGTGTGTGATTACCCCTTCCCTGAGTATTTAATGGCTGCAATGAAAAAGTTACCATGGTAGATGCGGGGGGGGGGGCATTGGTGGAAAAATACAGACAGGATTCTGCCCCTGGGACACTTCCTACTGGAGCTGTGGGAGACAAACATACAAATGCATTTTAAAATTCAAATCTTGAAGAGAATCCTGCATGGAACCACTAGCGGGCTGCGATGAAGATTAATGGAGGAGGTGCATTTAACACTCTGGACAGACATGGCAGATTCAACACACACAGTTTTGCTTTCAACCTAAATCCACTGTGCTGCAATGGAAGAACTAAAGATAAGTAGAAAGAAGACAAGAAAAGTCACAACATGTACTATTAGGAAAGGTCTGTATTGAGGGCACAAAGTTACTGAGAGTTATAGTACCTTTTTTTTCTCTTCTAGGACATGAAAAATTCCAGAATCTTAAAGATACAGTAAAATGGGCCATTGCCTTTTACCTATGAATTGAGTCTGTATGGATTTCTAGTGCTTTCTATAGATTCACAAATTCCATAGGTCACAACCACAAGAACACCCAAATACCCCCAGCCCCAGACCATAGTGAGGCTCACCTGAGGAGCACCCCCAGCCCCTTCTGACCATGCACTTCTTTCTGCCTAACCATCCTCTACACTTATTTGTCCTGACAAGCTTTTCTGCGACACGCCAAAGGTTGTCTCCATGGGTGGGGCTGAGCTGAGGTCTCTGTCCTCCACCTCCTCTTAGGGGGGAACTCCTCAGACCCGGTCAGATGACAATGCATATTTTTAAAATGACAGCACCCATGCAGAGGTGGAAAAGAAGACAGGAGACAAGAACAAACTTAAGTTGAAGCTGTAAAGATAAGCGGTAGCACCTGCAAAGGACAAGTGGGAACCAGCCCTACCTACACCACCCAGGGCGCCAATGGCTCAGCAGATGGCAGAATGCATCTAGGGCTGGGCAAAGGAGGTGGGAGGGGAAACCAGGTGGAAAACTGTCCAAGAAGTAATTGTAGCATGCATTTTCCTCCAGTGCGGTTTGCTACAGAACTGCTATTCCCCCATCTTTGCATGAGTAAAGAGAGGTTTAGGATAGAGGATGAATGTCACACATAACATATTAAAAATAAGAGGCTCAAATGAACACATGTGCCCTGAACCCTAAATGAGGCTCCCAGCCCTCTTACTTTGTATCTCCAGAACATGGCAGCTAGGCCTTTATCTCTGGGCAGGAATCATAAATCCTTGCCAGGAGCTCTTTCCAGAACATGAAGGGCTACCTGAAGACGATGATATTGGGAAGTACCCCCCAAAATAGCCTAGTGATACTCAAGACCAACAACTCCCATCCACATGCTGAGAGCTTTGTGTAAACCTTTGAATCCACTACTGTTTATCGTGGATTATAAAGAACGGTCTGACTCCTGAGGGAACAGACAAAAACAAAAAGGGACAGAAAGCAACTTTGTACAAGCAACATTCCCACAGTGGGTGGGAAGATGATACAATATCATATTCATTCAATACATAAAAAATTTTCAAACAACAAAATACCACAGGAAGAATCTTAGTAAATTTTAAAACAGTATGAGAAATTTAGAATTCAGGGGAAAATTGAGGAATTCTTCCTGAAAGTAATGCAGAACAACAACAAAAAAAAAAAAAAAATGGGAGAGAAAAGATTCAACATCGGAATAACAAGAACTCTAGGGTAATGGAACAACAGCAACCACAAAAGAAGGGGTCATCAGTGAAATAATTGAAGGAAATTTCCAGGACACAAATCCCAGACTGGGCAGGTTCAACAAGGAAACAGCATAATGGCTGAATACAGGTTATACCAAAGACTCATCAGCGTAAAATTGTGGAATTCCCGAGGCAAGTGTTCCACAGTCTTTCCGAGGGGGAAGGAGGTTCCATACAAAAGGTCAGTAATTAGACTGAATTCAGATTCCTCAACAACAAAAAGACTATAGATAATGTCTGCCAAATGCTAATGAAAAATCACTTTCAACATAAAGTTCTACGCTCAGCCAAACTGTGAAAGAAGTATGATATCAAATACAACACCTGAAGACAAAGGAGGCCCCATTTTTTTTCTTATGACCAATAAGCTATTGGAGAATTGTTCCCCAAAAAACAAGGAGAAAACAGGAAGATGAACCCAGAGAAGGACCAAAGAAACACCCAGCAGGTGACAAGGCCACCAGAATGACAACCCAACCGTGCGTGAAGCATCCGGCAAGCAGTGGTGTCGTGGGACTCCCAGGACACACGGTTACAGTCACACCTCCTGGCACCACCTCCTGGCATCAAACTTCGGTGGTCACTTTTGGAGTAGTAAGTGTGCCCTACAGACAGGAGAGGGAGGAAGAAAGAGCAGTACAGCCAGTTATGAAGTTCCAGAGAGTGGTATTCATAAGGGCCAGTGATGACAGCGGGGCAGAAAACCTAGCGAGTGTCACAGGGAGGCCACAGGTCTCCAGGCTGGCTGGCTCCAAGGAAATTCTGGGAACAGCAGGTGACCTGAGGTCAGCGACCTTGTGGAAACTACTATTGGTAGGTTATTGGACGGTCTGAGAAGATCCAAAATAAAAATGAAAATTATTAAACAAAAAAGAGGCAGTTACTCACCCTGACAAGGAAAAATGAGAAAGGAAATATGAAAGTACACTACATTGCACAGTTCTGTGTATTGTTGGAATAGGCAAACTAACACTAATCCTGGAGTGATGACTCAGTGAAAAAATTTTTAATCATTACATTGGGATCTTCAGAAAAAGGGAAGCAGAGAGGATGACTAAGAGATAAATTCTTAATTGTTGACATAAGAAATCCATAGAAACTGTACAGGATTGATGGACCAAAGAAAGATGCTGTAGAAATATGGACATGTGTAACTCCTAAGGAAATAGCTGAATAGAGTTAAAAAGAGGGCCACATCTGGGGAGGGAAAGTCCATGTGTAGAAGGAGGGCAGAGAGTTGTAATTAGCTTTGAACTTTTAAAATAATTTGATGGTCTAACACCACACACACATGTTATCTACATTAAAAAGTATTTTACAAAGCACCTAACAATTTCTGCCAAGTGGTATGTGATTAATAGTAGTGATAACATATTGGTCACATTACTTTTACTTCTTGATTTTTCTCTGTCCAGGGAAAACTTGACATGAAATCATTCAGTGTGTCCACAATGGCATCAACTTGACATTGTTCTATTGCTGTCTTCCCAGCCAAATCTGTGGAACAAAGAGAGGCCACTCATACTTAATGAAAGGTTCCATTTAACTCCCTACATTAAATAGGCAAGACACTCACGGGGTTGTAAAGTTAAAATCTACCTTTCCACCCCTATCCCCAACACCTTATTTACTCCTTTACCTACTATCTTATCAACTAATCACTCGATATTTTCTTGTGCATTCTTTTATTGTTTCTTTATGAAAACACAAACAAAAGATTATATACTGCACTAGATGTGTCCCTGTACCTCATATATCCTAGAGATCTTTTCTTACAAGTACCTAAAGAGCATCTCCGTTCAGCCACATGGTTCTTTGTTAAGGTAGTTTTATCACAATTTATTTATCTAGTCTCAAGCTTGCAGAACTGTTTCCAATTTTTTGCTAATATAAGCAATGCTATCATAAGTAACTTGTATGTAGATTATAATTTAGTTTGTAAAAATAATTTTTATTTTTCCAGTTAGTTTTTGTCAAGAACATTTATTTTCTGCCTGGAGGCTAAAAATTTAAAGTAATAAAAGATTCTTTTCTTTCCTGCCATTTGTTAATCATTGTTTCAATAATAAATCATTGGTCTTTCCAAACATTTTCTCACTGCTGTTAATTTAAAATGATTCAGTATGGAAATATTCTCAAATGGATTTCTTTTTTGTACAACTGTTAAATGTATTGAAACTCAAATGGGCAATGGGTAAACTGTGTGTCAGTTTTTCAGGACACACTTAGAAACTTTTGAATTTCCTATCTCTGTCTGGAGCAGGGAATTTGAAACTTTGAGCTCCTTATTTTCCTTTATCAATTTATTCTCACAGCCAGAAGACTTTAAATTTCTGATGGTTGTTTTGAGCTCATTGTTTTCGTTCAGTAGTTTGTCCAGGGATGCTAAGACCAACCAGTCACCATCATTATATTTCCTACTCTGCCAAAGAGATTCAAAGTTTTTGGGCTGAGGATCTAGCTCAGCAGCATAAGCACCTGCCTGGCAAGCACAAGGTTGTGAGTTCGATTCCTGGTACCGGGAAAAAAAAAAAAAGAAAGAGATTCAAAATTTTCATGCACAGGGTTGCTAAATTCCTGACATCTCACAAGTGGTGAATTAAGATAATTAAATGGATCTATATGGCATATTAGGCTAAACAATTTATGCCAAGGATTAGTAGTATACTCCACAGAAGTGGAAAGAGAGACCATGGTGTCTTTTGGTCTCCTCAAATTGCAGAGCCAATTCCAGGAATCCCTAAAGCCATGAAAAAATGTCATCATTGTCATTCTGTTTCTCTAGAGCCACTCCTGGTACCAAAGGAGTGGGGTCATTGCTGTGACTGTACCTAACCATGTGGTTCAAGAGCCTTTGGAAATGGCTTTTGGGAAGTGTTTGGAAAGGTTTGGAGATTTTGTTTGAAAGAGAAGCACTAGAACACCTTCGGCTGTTCTGTATGGAAGATTCTGATGAGAGCTCAGAAGACCAGAAGCTGATAGAAATCCTGCTGGTAAAGACCAGGCTCAGGAGGTTTCTGCTGGGAAGAGGACTGCATTGGATGCTGGACTCCAGATGATGTGTGTTATGGCTTGTCAGAAAGTTTGTCTGGATTTTGCTCATGTCCAGAGTCTTTGCCTGAGACTAAAATTAAGGATGGTGGACTGATTAATCCGGCAGAGGACATTTCAAGGCAGTTGAGTGTTGAGGCTGTGGCATGGCTACTGTTGGGCTTTTAGCCAGATTTATGTTGAGAATCAAGAGCAAGGAGCCTAGTAGGATGATTTAAAATGTTGTCAGTTTGGCCAGAGAGGAAGTTCCAGTAAAGCTGTACATCAAAAGACAGCCTACTGTGAATGAGTTAGAGATGCCTGATATTCCATGGCTTACTATTGATGAAGGGATTCAGAGGCTCAGGGGAATGGGAATGCTGAAGTAGGTATGCCAGGCCTAACCTAATCCTCCAAACTGGGATGATCCAGAAGACATACCATTCACCAACACCTTGAGAAACAGATTTGTGAGGGCAGCAGCAGCATCCCTGCCATTGCTCTTCTCTGTACGCCAGACCTTATGGTGGGGACTGTGGTTACTCAATTAGGATATTTAAGGGCAATGGGTTTTACTGGATCCCAGAGTGGCAGAGGTCGGGTGGCAGCACTCAACTGCCAAAGGCAAGGTCCTTGAACTTATCATAATGGAAGCAGACGCAGAACACTGACCAGAATAATCTGACACTTGCAGACCTGTGGTGTTGGCTGATTAACCATGGTGTTCCCAAAAGTAAAATAGACAGGAAGCCTACAGAATTTTTACTAGATTTATATCCTCGAAGAAATTTAAGCGCAAATAAACGTTGTCTTTTGCCACCCTACCTTGGAGCCAGCCAAGCATGGACTGAAACCTCCACAAACTGTGAACTAAATAAACCCTTCCTTAAATTTGGGCATCAAGTATTTTGTCTCAGCAACGAGAGAAAAGTAACCAAGACAGTCAATTATACCCCAATAAAGTTGTTAAAAATGAAAGAAAATGCTTCAGTCACTTAGAGTTTATCTGTGCACTATTTTTTGTGTGAAGTATTCAAAGGTTGATTCTTCTCTCTAGCCTTGAAAAATCCCTCAGAATTCTGTAAGTTCTCAGTCCTACTCAAACTCCCACTCTTAAGGCTTCGATTATCACAGTTACACAGATGACTCCTCTTTGGGTAGTTTTAGCTAAACTGTAGGCCCATGTTCTCAGCCTCCCTTTGCACATGACTCTGAATAGTCTTTGGATTCCTAACTCTTCAACAAATCCCCAAATGGAGTTACCACACCCTACCTCAACACTCTACCTCTTCCTTTTCATTCAACAAATACTTACCGGGCTTCAGCTGTGAGTCAGCCCCAAAAGTGGCTGTAGCCCTGAATAAAAGACACATATGGCTGACTGGAGAAGACAGAGAAGGATATTTCTTGTCTGAGCATATTTCCAATTGAAGTAAGTTGGAAAAAAAAAAAAAAACAGGAGAAAGAGAAGAAGAAGTAGTAATACATGGTGCCACAAGAATGAAAATTGCCCCAGGCCTGGTGACACACACCTGGAATCCCTGAACGATGGAAGGCTGGGGCAAGAAGATTATCAGTTTAAGCTCAGCCTGGGAAATTTAGAAATGAGAGCCTGTCTCAAAACAAACAATGAAAAAAGGTTGGGGGTATAACTCAGTGCAAAGTCCCTCTATTGTACCCCCAGTACTAAAAGAAAAGAAAAGAAAAGTAAAGAAAGGAAAAGAAAAGTAAGAAAAGAAAAGAAAAGAAAAAAAGAAAAGAAAAGAAAAGAAAACCATCTCCCCCACCCTTTGTCTCTGGTGCCAATGCCTGTCTTTCCATCCCTACACTGTTTCCATGTTCACAAACTTTCTTATACTTTGCTCATCCCATTTTCTGATTCCTCTGGACTATTTTTTTTTTTTTTTTTGGTTTTTCTCCGGTACCGGGAACCGAACTCACGACCTTGCGCTTGCCAGGCAGGCGCTTTTGCCGCTGAGCTAAATCCCCAGCCCCTCTCTGGACTATTTCAATGGCGTCCTATATGCTTTACTGCAGTCAGGCCATTCAAGTATAAAGTATGGTCAGGAAGTCCTGCCAAACTCCCACCTGTAGTTATGCAGCTTTTCTAGATGAAAAAAAAAAGAAAATGGAAAAGACTTACAGTTGTTTAAGGAATGATATCCATACTCTAAACCTTTTGAACCAGACCCAACATATTTCTCTAAGAGTTTCTCTTTCTGTTCCTCTGCCCTGCATATTCAAAGTTGATTTCCTTTTCTCCTGCGTTTATCTGTCTGCCTGGAGTGTTCTCCCAGTAACTATCAAAGTGAGGTCCGTAAACTGCTGCATCAGCATCATCTAGGAAATCATTAAGAATGCCAATTCTTGGGCACTTCCTAGGTCTCCTGCATCAGTCTCTGGAGTCATGGCTGCGTAAAATGTGTTTGATGAGCCTCCAGGTGATCCTGATGCACTAAAGTTTGAAAAACACCATGTTTGCCTGAAAATAACACCTATTGGGAAAATAATTGCTGGTCATCACCACGGTGGTGGCCAGTGTCATGCAGAAGATTATACCTCACTGTTCTCTTCCTGGCTGGCTGTTCTGTGATGGCATGTAAAGCAAGGTGACTGGGGCTGGTGCTTCTCACCCTTAGTTTTCAAGGCTGATTATTTTCCAGTTAGGTCTTATTTTCAGGGAAACAGGGTGTACACAGGCCCATGTCTCCTCTTGAAGTCTGAGGCATCCTTTAAGGCTGAATTCAAATTTCACTTTCACTTCAAGGACAGATTTCCATAGTTAAAAATAATTTCCATTGCTCCTAACCCTAAAGAAAATTTCACTTGAAATATAGCATATGTTAGTATAACTCAAGTTTTTTTGTTTTGTTTTGTTTTGTTTTTCAGTACAGACAATTGAACCCAGAGTCTTTGCACTGAGATATATCCTCAGCCCTTTTTTACTTTTTGAGACAGGATCCTAAGCTACTGGAATTACATGTAGGTGCCTCATGTGCTAGGTATTTGCATTTTTAACATACTCGACTTTGTCCCAAAAGTCAGAGTCTGGTATTTAGGCCCATTTGAGTAACTATGAGTGGGTTAAGAGAGCTGGGAGTGAAAAATGCTGATTCTGTGGATTGAGAAAGAAAGGAGCTTTAAAAGAACACAAAAGTAGAGTTTTACTTTAAAAAAAGTATGTGCGAAAAGTAGGAAAGAGAGAGAAAAAGACAATGACCCATAGGGTGAGAGAAAGGGCATCAAGTACAAATGAGAACTAAGTTTATTATTTCTCATTAATATGACGGGGAAGGCACTAAAAGTGCAATCCAGAAGCCAAATGCTCGCTTGAGATCCCTTAGAGGGCACTCAGCGCAGACAAAGTCCCTTTCTTTCTTTCTTGTCAGCATGACCAGCAGGAAGGACATCACTGAGTATGTGATTTTAATTACTTGCCTTGACTGGTAGATTCATTCTGTTAGTTTTTATAGACTTATAGTCTTTGTCATCACTTTCTATAACATCCTTAGAACACTTTGGAGTGCTGGTTTTGTGGTAATGGAGTTCTTCAGGTGTTCTTTGTTCTGAAAGTATCTTAGTTCTCCATCAATTTTGGAAGATAATTTTGTGGGGTACATCAATCTGGGTTGGAGGTTGTTTTCTTTTAGGGCTTAAAATACTTCACTCCAAGCTCTCCTTGACTTAAGTGTTCATGTTGAGATGTCTGATATAATTCTGATGGGCCTTTATTCATAAGTGATTTGTTTCTTTTCTCTAACAGCTTTTAATATTCTATTCTTGGGTTGAATTTCTGGAATCCTGCCTAGTATATACCCTGGGGTACATTTTCTTTGATCATGGCTAATTAGAGTTCTATATGCCTCACTTACTACATGTCAAATTCTTTTTCTTTGCTTGTGAAATTTTCTGCCATT